CACAAACTTTTTCGTCAACACGTACATACATACCGCTTTTCTTTTACTGCCCATGTTAACAGTGCTAACCATTATTTCTAAGCAAACCAAGCGTAATGATGCACATGTTCAAGGCAATTAACAATAACAAAAGCAAGACAGCTGTTTACGATCACAGAAGTTTCGGGGCCTCAAAGGCTTAGTCGGCGTCTTTTGTAACCTGATAAGATAACATAAACAATAACAATAGTAATGAATATTTAATGTGTTAAAATATGAACACATTTCATCATAATGGGGAATGGGTGCTGCGCTATAAACAGTTTATCAATGTGTGAGTTAAAAGGTAAACCAACCCAATTGTGCTCACTTCTACGTTATATGGTATGGTATATATTATATACATTTACGTAAAAAATAATCAGCTTCCTAACTTTGATGCAAACTGAAAAATTTGGTCCAAAGTGATGTTTACGATTAGGGCATTCAGATTTTAAATTTTAAACTTCAAATTTAAATTTAAACAGGTGATTTCATGGTTCCTAAGTAGACCTTAAAACTGCGCGAAACATACATGGGATGATTTGAAAACCCCATAACACGGGAGCCATGAGTCGGCCTGTATAAAGCCTAAATCTAACATGGAATTTGTCGTACATTTATTTTCAATAAAATTCATTATACATTTCAATATAATACTTGTTTCTGTTTATTCATTATGTTGTATTACTTGTTACAGTGGTTTTACTTCATTAGAAATAGATTTTAATTGTATTTTCATAGTAAAAAACGTACATACCCAGCGCAGGACAGCAGTGTGAATATCACAATTATTTTTATATATTACTCGAAATTATTAACGTAAACGGATAAACTATATTCACACAAAACCTTTTATAACAATTTTATAATAAAACACTATACTAAACACTAATAACACACACTAGAAAAATCCAAAAATCAAAACAATAACACGCCACACCTAGCAGGCTTACGAAATGAACGTAGATTATAAATAAATACTATAGACTGAGTTTTTATTGCATTAGAGGATAGAAAATTTCACATGGAGCCTATAAACGTATATCAACACTCCATGGTACTTATTGACACGGACGAACATGAAATAGAGACAATTATTTTAAATATGAAATCTGATTGTAGCGTAGGTAGAGATACTATTTCTACTTTATTTCTAAAAAGGTATAGACATTTACTAGTTCCTCCCATTACATATATATATATGTAACCTTTCCCTTAAAACTGGTAAATTCCCCAAGTGTTTCAAACTAGCTGAAATTCACCCTATTTACAAGAGCGGTGATGTGGGCTGTGTCAATAACTATAGACCCATTTCCATTCTTCCCACTATGTCAAAAATTCTGGAAAAAGTGATTAACAAACGTTTGACTAATTACTTAGAGAAACATGATCTGTTATCACATTGTCAATATGGTTTTCGACCTAAACGTTCAACTCAGGATGCAGTTCATGAACTAACAGATTTCGTTGTTACAAACCTTGACCGTAAAAAGAAAGTAGTTGTTATATTTCTTGATCTAGCTAAAGCGTTTGATACAGTTTACATCCCGCTCTTGTTGAATAGGCTAGAAGATCTTGGAATAAGAAATACACAGCTGAAAATATTCTCTGACTACTTAAGGGATCGATATCAGAGGGTAAGGACTTTCCCGAGCAGGTGTTAACCTTTTTATCTATTATCTTCAACGCCTGCTTCAACCTTAGTTATTTTCCCACTACGTGGAAAGAGGCTACTGTGATTGGAATTCCCAAGCCAGGCAAGCCTCTCAACCTCCCCCTCCAGCCATCGCCCCATTAGCCTCCTCAAGGCAATGGGCAAGCTCTTCGAAAGAGTCATCCAAAATCGAATGAGGCGCTACCTGTTTCCCACAGACGGCGACCCTCTTATCATTCCCCATCAATTCGGCTTCCGAGCCAAACACTCATGTCCCCAACAAGTTCACCGCATTGTGGAATATATCCTCAGCGGTTTCTATCCTCGTCGTCATAAGACCATCGCGGTCTTTTTCGATATAGCCAAAGCATTCGATAGAGTCTGGCACACAGGCCTTATCTACAAGCTCTATAAAATAGGTCTCCCCGATCGTCTAGTTCGTCTCGTGGCCTCCTATTTAAAACATCGTACCTTTCGTTTCAGACACGAAGGCACGCTCTCTTCACAGCGAACTATCGAGGCTGGTGTCCCCCAGGGCTCAGTACTTGCTCCTCTGCTGTACATCCTGTTCACCAACGACATTCCCATCCCGTCGAAAGGTGTTCAACTCTCCCTCTTTGCAGACGACACTGCCATCTACTGCAAAGGTGTCTCACTACCCTTCATACGGAACAAGATCCAAAAGTCAGTTGATGACCTAGGAGCTTGGTTCAAAAAATGGCGCATCGATGTGAACCCGGAGAAGAGCTCCGCCGTTCACTTCGATTATAAACGACGCCGTCTCAAAAACACTCCTCCAATACGTATGCTAGGGACCCCTGTCCCCTGGCATACGTCCGCCAAATATCTAGGTGTCACTCTAGACACAGGGCTTACTTTCAAGCCCCACGTCAAAAGAGTAACCCGTCACGCACGATTTTATCTGAGTAGGCTCAACAGTATGTTGGGCCGACACAGTAAAATGTCCCTTCGAAACAAGCGTACACTCTACAAGGTATGTATACGACCAGTCATGACCTACGCGGGCCCCGTCTTTGCCCACGCAAACCCTAACATTTTAAATGAACTCCAAATAGTTCAGAACCTATTCTGTCGTCGAGCTGCGAACGCACCGTGGTACGTTCGTAATGCCGACCTTCATCGGGACTTAGAGCTCCCAACAATTCAACAATTTCTTAAAAAACTCTCTGAGAACTTCTTCAAAGCCTCAGAGTCGCACCCAAACCATTTAATTCGTGAGGCAGCTTCTTATGCAGCCCCACCCCCCCTCTCGCTATCGTGTCCGCAGGCCGAGAAACTCTCTCTCGGACCCGCCTAATAAACTTTCAAACGACCTGAACTGTCTCCTGGCGGCTCAGGCCAACTCTAATTAAATAAAATTATTGTAATATCTGACATTAATTTGCCTTCGTAGGCACTCCCTCAGCGGCACTTAGCCGCCTGCGCCCTCTTTTCCCAAAAGAGGGTCGCTCATGATAAGGCACAATAGAGCTTAATCAGCCGGTTGCCTGTCCCTAAAGGCGGTTTTTAGGGGGTATCACTTAGGGTCCCCGGTAGGACAGTGAGTCCCCCATAACCACGATAGACCGGCTATCGTGGTATGCGTAATGCATTTTCCGCCTCCCTACGTACAGGGTAGCCCTTTAATTGCTTCGGGCGCAAAAAAAAAAAAAAAAAAAAAGGGTAAGGATTGGTGGTTGCTACAGTGATGACCTTCCCATATCATATGGTGTACCACAGGGTAGTGTGCTTGGTCCCACGCTATTTCTTACATATATTAATACACTATGTAATCTAAAAATTCACAATGGGAGGATTATTGCCTTTGCGGATGACACGGCTCTTCTTTTCTAGGCAGATACATGGTCTGAGGTATTTAACTTCGCACAAAATGGGTTCGATTTAATAACTAAATGGCTGAAAGAATCTAAACTTACATTAAATGTCGAAAAAACAAAATACATAGCATTTACTACCCAAAACATCAATGTATCTGAGTTAGAACACTTTCACATTACAGCTCACTGCTGCTCCCAAATTGAAAGCCCTTGCTCCTGTCCTACCCTGTCTAGAACGAATTGCATAAAATATCTTGGCGTAATGATCGATAACACCCTAAGCTTTCACCTTCATATTGGCCTCTTAAGTACAAGGATACGTAAGTTAATTTATATTTTTAAAAATCTACGTCGTGTTGCAGATTTTAATGTAAGAAAAATTGCATATTTTGCACTGTGCCAATCATTGTTGACATATTGCATTACCATCTGGGGAGGAGCAAACGACCATATTGCAATTAGAAAGGGCTCAGAGGGCACTATTAAAAGTTAGCAATTCTCTTCCATTCCGTTGTCCTACAACTGACCTTTATCAACATTGTAATGTCTTATCTGTTCGTAAACTGTTTATATTGCACACTACACTGCTACAACATTCTCTTATACAGTATGAGTCCTCCTATAATATTGACAAAAGAAGGAAATATGTAGTTTGTCCCAGTAAGCTTCTAAATACAAAATTTTCCCATAATCATTTTTGCTTCCTGGGAGGTTACCTTTATAATAAATTAAATAAACTTTTGTCAATTTACTCTCTACCAAAACATGCATGTAAACAAAAATTACGGAAATGGTTGCTAAATATCGATTATATGGCTGCTGAAAATTTACTGAGAGTATTATCCTAAAAACACATAACCCTACACAAATGAGTGCACACATACACTCTCACACACACACACAAACACACACACACACACACACACACACCCACACACACACACACATACACACACACGCATATATTAACACTACTATACATATAGAAATAACTTAAAAAAAAAAACATATAGAATCTTTCCTTGTTGAAATATTTTCTATTTTGTATTTCTCTTGTAGTATTTTTGAAAATGTAATACGTGCTATCCGTCAGGGTGAGGGCCTGGTGATCTATAACACAGGGATTACCCTAGTATGGACACCAGTCTCTCACAAAGGTCAAAATTATCTACTATCGTATTATTTAAGAAATAATGTGTAATTATATACCTTTGTGAAGAGAAAAATAAAATGATTTATTATTATTATTATTATTATTATAATACCAAACTTTTTCGTAGACAAGTAATTTCTAAATATAAGTTTTAATGGTTTAAAGTGCTGTGGGTGGGTGTGGTTGGATCCGACCACTTGGGATTTGACGGAATATCGTCTTGGTCGGATCCGACCGTGCCATTGAAGGGTTAAAGAAGTAGTATAAATTTATGTTTTTGTCTAAGGTTATGGATCCTTACGACAACCCAGTACCTGGAACTTTTCATACCTAGGATGATCCTGCTTGGAATACCCTCCACATAGAGGAGACACTCGCAGCTTTAGATTCGTTCATCGAAGAACCAAACAGAGAAGAAACGAATTTACTTATCCATTCACCTCAATATTCAATCACGGATTCTGAATTATTGGGAATATTGTCGGAAAATGTAATGGATGAATTGGAGACCGATAATGACGGTGACTCTGATCCCGAATTTTTCGAAATTAATGAAAATGCACAAGAAGACTATGTTGTGTCTGGTGAAGCATGGATTCCCGCAAAACCGACAGCTAACATAACCGAATTCCCTTTCCTGAAGACCCCCGGACTGATAGAAGATGTTGGTGATGAGCCTATTAATTATTTGGACGCATTGTGCCCTTCCAATCTGCTGGAATTATTTAAAGACTGTTCCAATGAATATGGGGAAATAGAAAAAAATTCTACCGCGGCCATAAAAAGCAAAAAAAAAAAATCTTGGAAGCCTGTAACTTGTCAAGAAATGAAATTGTTTTTCGGTCTCACATTTCATATGCGATTTATAAAGATAAATCGCTTGAATGACTATTGGAAAAACGATGCCTATTTTGATTAATCTATATTTGGAAGGGCAACGTCACGGAATCGATTTATTTTAATTTTGAGAATGTTATGTGTGTATGTAGGACAAGTGACGTGTAGTTATGATAAAGTTAGAAATATAATCGATTACTGTAATGAAAAAAATATTATCTCTATATAATCCAACAAAAAAAATTATCATTAACGAATCAGTGATGTTATGGCGGGGACGATAATCATTTAGATAATATATGAAGAAAAAGCGCCATAAATACGACCTAAAATTCTACGCACTGGGTTATTATGAAACTACATTTATACGGCGGTGCATCTGAAGCTCTCGTGGGCGGCAAAAATCACATGCAAAAAATAGTTGACCACATGCTTCACGATTTTATTAATGTAGGACATCATTTGTTCGTAGACAAATGATGGGTACTTTGAAATCAAAGCCACAAATAGTTATTAAATACAATAAAAGTATGAAAGCAATCGATCGACATGACCAAATGTTGTTTTACTATTCATGCGAGCACAAATCGTTGCGATGGTTTAAAAAGATATTCATACATGTTATGCAAATCCTATTGGTCAACTCCTTTTTATTACACAATAAATACAGTTAAAAAAATTAAAATTGTACGATTTCCACTTAAGTGTAATTAAATCAATTATAGAACCTCATTTGCCTTCCGCATTACAAAGGCCTTTGATTAATAAAGTTCATTGTATCATGAAACTACCAAAAGATACCCACGGTAAAACAAAGTGAAGGCGTTGCAATCAATGTTGACGCACAAAAAAGGGTTCAAACTATATTCGCATGCGAAGATTGCCCCGGTCAGCCAGGATTGTGTATTGAGTGTTTTAGACCGTACCAATTGTAAGAGCGTTTATACCATCTACTAGCACCAACTCGTGAACGGCTTAAAAGCCTTTATTGATCTCATTCGTATTGAAAATTTTAGTGTTGCCTAAAAATGTTTATTTAAATTGTTTTGCACTGTAAAAGAGTTTATTTACATAATGTTTTATTTACTTAACTAATTTCCGCCACTTAACAAAAACAATATTACAAATTATTATTCATTAGCTTAGCCTTTAGACTAACTCAGTCTTGTGGATTAAATTATTAAGTTAAATAATCAATATTTTGATTTGATTTGATTGATGTATCTATTAATAAACATTCATAGATTCTTTTGCGTTCAATTATTATATAACTTTTTAACCCCAATTATCAGACCTTAATTAATTTATGAATTGTTTTCAATCAGTCTAAAATAATCTGATGCATAACAAAGCGCCTTTTAAACATTGGCACATTTAGAAGTTCACGTCCGATGAAATTGCCAAAGCTTTCGTTGGCTATTTCTGTACTTTGAATTATCTGAAGTATTTTAGTTTGAGTGCTGATTTCGGTAAAATTTAAGTTTGTCGTATTTGTTAAAATGTCACGAGTCTGATAGTTATTGTTGTCATACCAGTCTTGAGAATCATTTTCAAACAGAACCTTCATCGCGTTGTCTTCAGTCAAATTTTGCAGATTTTCTAAATAAAATAAACATAGGAATAAAGCATCTTTTAAATATTACATGAAATATTAAAAATAAAATGTGCTTTATTAAAGCAGTTTTGGCAGAAAAAGAATTTACAAATACTGCAAATAGTTTTTACTTGGGATGCATATTTCCTTTTACCATCGACTGTTGTGCCCTTTTTGCCATAAATTTCATAACAACCCTTTCAACAGCCTCTTTTTGATTTTGGCGGGTTTCCGGAAATAAGGTCTATTAGTTTGTGTGTTGTCGAGCTTGAGTTTCTTTCTCTCTACTCGTTCTGTTTGTTGCTTATTACACGCGTCTTGTATTTGTCTATCATCTGTTCAATGACTTTCTATCGGAACTCAGTTATACTTAGTTTATTGAGCCTGCTATATTTGGAGTACAAATAATAGGCGTTCACGAGGCTTGTACCCCAAATAAATTAAAATATCAGCTTTCTGTACAATTCGACACATCTTCTCAATGCTGAAATGTATGATGACATTTGGTCGCTTATGTCAATACTTGATTTGCCAGTATTATAATCAATGACGGAACATGGTTTCAGAACACTCCTTCCGGTTTTAGTTGTGACGGTCTACATGGAGTTCGCTGAATGTTTAGTACTTAATGACGTTGTGTTACGCTTGTCTCTTCATTTTCTCATCGCTATTTTTCCGTCATCTGTCTCCGTGCACGCTATCTTTCTTTTCTTCAGTATCTTTCCAATAACTTCCTTGGATATATGTTTTCTGTTTGCTCTCAATGTTCCCACCAAATCTGTCTTTATATTTTTTAGTCTGTAGTCTGTAGTAGTAGTTCTCTGTGTAATATGTAAATCCATTATCCAGCAGTCCCTTTGTCAAATCCATTAACACCATTTCAGATACATCTTTATCTTTTTCTTTTGACTTGCCACAATACACAGAAAAATTGTAGATGTAGCCTTTGTCTGTGCATAACTTGAAGACATTTGCCATAAGGGTGTCTTTTGTTGGGTTCAGATCAATCTTGGGAAGATCAATCTTCCACGCCAGGGAATCAGACTTTCATCTGAACATATCTTTTTTCTAGGAGTATATATATTCTGATAATAATTGACCAATTTTTCGAGTACATTTCTCACTTTGGACACCGATCGGTAGTCTCTTCTTCGTTATCAGAAAAATGCACAAATTTTAAAATAATCTGAAACCTGTTGCGTGACATAATAGTTCTGGCGAAGGGTAGACCATATAGCTTATGCTTCCGCCAATAATCACGAATCCCTGGTAGCTTTACTAACCCCATCCATCTTCGATCAACAATACCAACTAGATAACGGGTCACATACAAAATCATAGCTAAATACTCTCCGCGTGGATATAAACTTAAACAGATACATTTGTTTACTAAAGAAATGAGACAAAAAATTAAAATAGTTTTAAGCTCAACCTAATTACAATCATCGCATCTAGTAATAAAGTCACAAATCTTACGATCATTAGTCACAAAAAAGAACAAAGCTATACAATACTCCTATCACTAGGACATAAATTTAATAACCTTAGGTGTGAAATCAACGTTAACGTGTAACAAATAAAATTCTTTTTCTCGTTATTGCCTTGCGAGCTACGTTATTTTGTTATGTTTCTGTTTTCTTCTTCGCATTTGGTCCAGGAAGTATTGAGTCGCATTGAACAATAAAATAATTTATAATATGATCATAATTTTAATTGAAATTATTTTTATGTTTTGGGCATTTATGATTGTTGGTATACATACTTTCCACACTAGCCATTAAATATAATATAGTATGTGGAATATTGATGGCATTTAATCAACTAATTCAATATGTATCTATTTTAGTTTTTGTATGTATATATGTTCGTAGTATGTATGTATCTATGTATAGTATATATATAAATATGTGTATTCTTTTTTATCACACTAATTTGCCCTACTCCTGTCATCTTCATGTAATCCTGTTCATTTATTGGTTGTCTGGTAAAATTTGCTGTCAACAATAAGATCGCCCATTGCATACTTTCAAAACGTGGTAGAGCCATGCTGCAATTATATTAGTAGTATAGTTGTAGAACTAATGGGTCGGCTCGACCGGGGAAGAAAGCTAGGAAAGCTAAAAAAAATCCAAGTATCTATATATATAGGAATTACACAAACAAAGACAAAAGTAGCAATTACCATTATTTGAAGTTTTGGTAAAGAATTATTAAAAATTATTACAATGCAAATCTACTTCATGCGTCCATGTTCTGTTTCACAAATGTTTGCGTGTGTATTGGTCAACATTGGCAAAATATTTGTAGGGGTGGTTTTGATCGGTAATTTTGTTTAAAATATGATATTATTTGTTAGTTTAGAGCTTAAAATATAACATATTGTTACGCGCTCCAATGCCTCAAATCGGCGCACTAGCGCCATCTAGTCTCGAACCGAAGAACTAAACTTCTTGAAGTTTAAAACTCGAACTCTCGGTACCTTGCGCGTGTTTACTTGAACATTCTGGATATTTTGCTAATTTATATAAGTAGGCGCTGCAAGATGCGATCGAGGCAGAGTTGAACTCGGCGACACAAGCGAAGCTTCGGAGCGGAATTAAGTGAATTAGTGTGTTTAATTATTAGTGTTTTTAGTTTTAATTTGTGTAAAGTAAATTAAAGTGTTAATTTAGGTAATTTTATCGGCAATTTTTATTGTCACGAACCCTAAGCTCGTAACAATTGGTGTCAGAAGTAGGATAAAATAATGCCGATTTTACCTAAGGAGGAAACGGAGGGTGTCCGTACCCGAAGTCAACGCCAGCAGGAGACGGACCAACGAAGATTTGGTGGTGCAACGCCGCAGACGTCGGAGGGACAGTCGCCGGCTGCAGGCCCGTCAGTAGCTCCTACATCTGCAGCACCCGACTTAGGTGCTCTGATGGTGATGCTGCAGGAGCAGGCTCGCCGACAGGAGGAACAGGTCCGTCAGTTAAAAGAGCAGCTGCAGAGCGGACAAGAGGAACAGGTCCGCCGACAGGAGGAACAGGCCCGCCGACAGGAGGAACAGGCCCGCCGACAGGAGGAACAGGCCCGCCGACAGGAGGAACAGGCCCGCCGACAGGAGGAACAGGCCCGTCGGTTGGAAGATCAGCAGGCGGAACAGGCTCGTCGGTTGGAAGAGCAGATGCTCCTCATGAAGGACCTTCACGCTACCTTTGGGAAAGAGATAAGGGAGGTGAAGGATAGGGTTGCTCAACATGACAACCGCCTGTCGGAAGCTGAAACCCGAATCGAAGAACATGAGACCCGAATCAACCATGTGAACAATCGGGTTGACAACGTGATGGCTGACGTGAAGAAAACGCTGAAGGACCTCAAACTTGGGGATGGAACGACAGCTCCCGTAGTAGCTACAGCACCCATCGCTACGTGGGTTCAAGGTGCCACCGTTCGACGGGACTTCTTCCTGGTCAGCCTACAAAATCCAGTTCGAGGCTGTTATGAAGGCGAACGGCTGGAATAAAAGTCAGGCCATGACTGCTCTCACACTAGGCCTGCGCGACCAGGCCTTAACAGTTCTGGAAGCTCTCGGTGAGGAAGTGACTTATGAGCAACTCCTTGAGGCATTGGAGGCGAGATATGGCGACGCTCACCTGGAACACGTCTTTCGTGCGCAGCTTAAAGATCGCGTGCAGCGCATCAACGAAAACCTGCAGCAGTGGGCTCTAGAGGTGGAGAAGCTGGTGCGAAAAGCATACCGGTCTGTACCTGCGCTCATTGAAGGGAACCTGGTGCAGACATTCATCGACGGCATCCGCGACCTGGAAGTCAGAGCTGCTGTGAGGCTCGGGCACCACGAGACGCTTAAGGACGCCTTGGTCCATGCACTGGAAGTGGAAGCCGTGCGGCAGGATCATCGTTCCCATCGCGTCAGGGAGGTTGCAGCAGCTACAGTTCGCGACCGCAACAAAGGATACAGCCCAAGGTGCTATGGCTGTGGGGAAAAGGGCCATCTTCGATCCAGCTGCCCTAAGCGAACCCTAGAAAGGGAAGGTGAACGATCCCAGGAGGGTAGTGCGGCCAACAGCACCGCCCAGCAGCAGTAGGGAAACGAGTAAAAGCCAGAACTGCGGGGCGGGTGCTGGCTGATGTTAAAAGAGCCCCAAGGATCTCGATCTCACAAACCCATGATGGGAACAGTCTAATCATCAAGGGCGAGGTCAACGGAATGCCGTGTAAACTGACCATAGACACTGGAGCCTCTCGTACGGTTGTTAGTTCCCAACTTATAAGTCAGTTCCTTGGGGACTCCGCATACAACCGAGAACGCATTAATTTGGTAACAGCTACCGGTCAGCGTATACCCGTCCGTGGAGAGAAGGAGATGGAGTTGAAGCTAGGCAACGTGATCTACCTGCATAATGTCATCGTGGCTGATATAATGGACGACTGCATCCTAGGCCTAGACTTTATGAGGAATAATTGTTGTGAGATCGACGTTAAGCAAGGTGTTTTGAAATGTGGACAGGAGGAACTTTTTATGGAAGGTGCGTTACCAGGGAACGTGTACAGCATTAAGAAGACTGTTCTTCCGCCGAGATCGGAAACGATTGTTCCGGTTAGTCTTCCTCGAAACGCTGGGCAAGCTCACCGTTGTGTACTTGTGGAAAGGGTAAACAATGACCTTCCATGGAAAGTAGCTCGAACCTTGGTTAGGACCACTGACATCTCAGGAGTACGTGTGCTGAACCTTTGCGACCGGGAACAGATTATAGAAAAAGGCACACTGATTGGTACTTGTGAGGAAGTGGATTGGTTACGTCGGTGCCAATATATATCGAGTGGGACCCCCAGCAAGGATGCAGAAACGAGAGTGACCACACTTTTGGAAGACTGTCGCAGTGTTCTCTCCCCGAACGAATTGGTCAAGGCGAAGAAGTTGTTACTCAAGTACGCCGATGTATTCTCATCAAACGATGCTGACATAGGAAAGACTGGCTTAGTTCAACACAAAATAAACACAGGAGAAGAATTGTCTATCCGTCAGCGGCCAAGATGATTGCCGGTAGCACGTGAAAAGGAAGTGGAAACCATGATTGAGGGAATGGTGAAGGATGGTGTTATTGTACCTTCATCTAGTCCATGGTGTTCACCAGTGGTGCTGGTGAAGAAGAAGGATGGCAGCATGCGGTTTTGTGTTGACTACCGCCGTCTGAACGACGTTACGAAGAAGGACAGCTATCCCTTGCCAAGAATTGATGACACGCTGGACATGCTTACAGGAGTAAAGTGGTTTAGCACGCTGGATCTAAAAAGTGGCTACTGGCAAGTTGAAATTGACCCTAAGGACAAGGAAAAAACTGCGTTCTCGACGGGAAAGGGTCTGTGGCAATTTAAAGTAATGCCGTTTGGGTTGTGCAATGCTCCAGCACCGTTTGAAAGGCTGATGGAAGTTGTACTTACCGGGCTAATTGGCGATGCCTGTCTGGTCTACTTGGATGACATCATCATCATAGGCCGTACGTTTGAGGAACACCTTCAAAACCTGGAACGCGTGCTCATGAAGATTCAGAGTGCCAACCTCAAGTTGAGCCCGAAGAAATGTTCACTATTCCAACGGCAAGTTAACTTTTTGGGGTTTGTAGTATCGGAAGAAGGTATCCGCACAGATCCAGAGAAAAGCACCGCTGTCAAGGATTGGCCGGTTCCAAAAGACAAGACGCAGGTTAGAGCATTTTTGGGTTTGTGCTCCTATTACCGGCGATTTGTGAAGAACTTTGCAGATATAGCCAAACCTCTGCACAAGCTAACCGAGGGGAAGCGACATTTCTGCTGGGATGAAAGTTGCAATATCGCATTCCAGGAGCTCAAGGACCGTCTGTGCAAAACACCTATTT